CTTTAGTGTAGCTAGAATTGAGAGCTTGCTTTGCGGTTTAGTTTCATCTAGTGGAGCACTTTAGTGTAGCTTTCTTGAGAGCTCTTAGTGAGTAGCAACATAGCCTTGTTGTGTGTCTAGTGATCATAGCAACTAGAATTATTGGAATAGATGACTTGCAACCCTTGTAGAGCTAGAGCAAAATTTGCATTACACCATGTGTTGTACTAATCAATTGCTCTAGTCAATTTATAGAGTTTTAAATAGGCTATTCACCCCCCTCTAGCCATATTAGGACCTTTTCAACTACGTGTGTGCACGTCATCTGGCGATGATTATGCTTCTTCTCTACACTGGATTTTTCTCAGCTAAGCTGGGGACTGGTTTCTAGCTAAGCTGGGGACTGGTTTGGTACCTGAAGTTTACTGTTTTGGACCCTGGCACCACGTGAATGCTTCACCTGCTGACAGACTCGGGGACTAAGTGGACACACTTCACCTTGTGGTGAATGTGTTTATTTCTAGGACCCAACAAGCTTTGATACGACTAAGTCGTTGATGGTGATCGTCGCTGCTCTCCGTGTGGCTCTAAGAGCATTTTCGCCTAAGGCATAGATGCTAAGCATCCCTCTTCGCTCTTGACGGACTAAGTTCCTCCGCGCCGACTAAGTCGGGGACGCTAAGCATCCAACTTCGCTGCCTGGAAGCTAAGTGGACACACTTCACCAAAGGTGAAGACTTCAAAAAAATTTACTTGAGCTCCTTACATCCTTCTGGCAACTTCGAGTGAGTCCGGCTCCAGCAACCAGTTGAACTATTCAGGCATCTGTTTCAATAGCTCGAACAATGTTTCTTTCAATAGCTCGGCTCCCAGTTAAACTGGTCGGTAGCCTATTTCTGACGATCAGCAGCAAGTTGGACAGCTCGGATAAGCTCAATACGGTGTTGCTCATCGGATACAAGGCGCTCGGGGACAAGCTGTGGGGATATGATCTCCGATACCCATAGGGCTGTACATGGGCTGAGCCTCCAAGGGAGGCCCAGCCCACAAGACTACGACAGGTGGAGCACGACATAGGTCGGCGTGCCTCGCAAGGCTACGTGAAGATCCTTGGCGATCAAGGATAATCTGTTCGTATATGCTAGAATACGTGTTTTTTGTAATTCCTACCGTGTAACCGATCAGGATTAGATTCAACCGACCTGTAACCCTACCCCCCGTATGATATAAGGTGGGTAGAGGCCCCTCGTTTTCACCTCATATAAATATACAACCCACCAAAGACATAGGACGTAGGGTGTTACATCAAGCTGACCGCTCGAATCTGCCTAATCGTTGTTTCACGCGTTCTGTGTCACCGTTCTGCTCCTAGCACGCGCACCTCCACTGATTCATCTACTACCGTGGGCATACCCCTCGGTAGACTGCCGACCAGATTTCGTCGAAACTTCGCGGGAAAGTGTAAGTGGGATGAATCGGTGGAGGTGTTTCCTTGTTTCACGCGTTCTGTGTCAACGTCCGAGCCGTTTCACGCGTTGTTAATTGTGGGATAGACCAGCGTATAAGGCTTCTAGAGTCCATCCCACTATCCCGGGTTAATCCATTTACACGAAGCGGGGACGAAAGTGTAAGTGGGATGATGATAGATGTGGTTCAGTCAACGTGCAGAGTGGATCTGAGCCGTTTAGACTCTGGGGCGTTACAACGCGGGGTGGCACCTCATAGTAGCGATAGTGGTGTGGGGTAGCCTGGAGTAGCAGCTCGACACAGGGGCAATGCCCAAAGTGACGATGGCGACGCAATAGCTCAGAGGAGCAGCACATAATCATAGGCGACTCGAGGAGCAGTGGCATAGGACGTGAGTGTCGCGTTGTGTCTTAACGTCAGGAGGAAAAGAGAATGGGTTGCTCTGGCCCTGTTTGATAGCGGCGGTTAAAATAAGCTGGTCGGATCCAGCTTATGTTTTTTTAGTACAAATAGGAATTGTGGGCATAAGCATGGCCAGAGTAAGCTGTAGAAAAGCGTAGCGTTTGGCTGTTAATTTCAACTTATTTTAGCCATAATCAACTTATAAGTTGTACCAAACAAGCCCTCTATCCTTCCTCTGAGCAGGGGGGAGATCTTCTAGAAAATAGGATCATGGAAAGTGAGTTAAAAAAAAGGATTTGCTTGAGCTCTCCTTTTGCCTTTCAATCCTCTTTTTTAATGAATATAGGAAAACATATCTCTTTTCCTGCACAGCTAGTCTAAATGACTCAACGTGTAGAGTGTCCGAAATGGGTGCACGCTGCGTCGCTGCCTGAATCGGACAGCTTTTTCCCCAGAGCAAACAAGCCCGTTGTAAGGCAAAAGTTTAGTTTTAAAAAGTCTGGTTAAATTATTACAGTACTACTTAAAAGACGGTTAAAATTCCTCTAAAAAAAGACGGTTAAAAAAACGCAATTCGATGGAGCACGCAAATGACTTCCCCTGCGCCCCAACGGGCCGAAAACCCAACACGTCGCGCCCAAAACCGCCGACCAAGGCTCGCACACGCGGCGGCCTCGCGCTCGCCCGCCGCGTCGTCGTCCTCCCTGTCCCTGATCCATCCCCAGTCCCCACCGGCCACCTCCCGCTCGCCGCCGCCGCCGGTAGCCGGAGGCCCGGAGGTCCATGGGCCAGGCACTGCGCCGCACCTCGGGGCGCGTGAGGCCCCCTCCTCCCGCTCACTCGCCCTCGCCCTCGCCCTCGCCGCCCGCGAGGCAACCCCAGCCTCCCCCGCCTCTTTCCCGGGCGTCGCCGGCGGCCGCTGGCGGCGCGACGAATGACCGGGTCGACGCGCCCTCCGGTGACGGTAGGGCCGGCTGCTGCTGCTTCTCCTGGTTTCTCCACTCTAGGATTTATAGCTTGCTCGCTTAGCTGTGTTGCTAAATCGCATCGCCCTTGCTACTGGAGGCCGCTGGTTTCGCCTAGGCTCCTGGTCCGCTGATGCTTGCATTTCTGTAGCCTAGTAAGTCTTCACGGTATGACGTGGTTGTGGGTTAGGGCGGGTTTAGTTGGCGAAAATTTTTGGGTTCGGCTACTGTAGCATTTTCGTTTGTATTTAGCAATTAGTGTCTAATTATGGACTAATTAGGTTCGAAAGTTTCGTCTTGCGATTTCTCACCCAACTGTGCAATTAGTTTTTTTTTTCGTATACATTTAGTACTCCATGCATTTGCCGCAAGATTCGACGTGACACTTTGGGTGAAAATTTTTGGGAACTAAACAGGGCCTTAAATTCTACCAAAAAATTGAGGACCGATAGTAGGATGCTTGATAACTCGGATTGATTAGGACTTAAAAGCCAGCTCTTGATTCGGGACCCTCTGTTGTGTCTTCTTGTGCTAAGGTATTTAATCAGACGGGTGGAATACGGGAATGTATGCCAACGATTAGAACTGTTTAGTAGAAATGTATGTACTATCACCAATTACTGTTCCTATCATGCCTCATTTAACCTTGATTTTACTATAGTGGATTCCTACTGGTTACAGGTACCAAATTGAACTTTTGCATATAGTCCACCCTTCCCACTACCATTTCGAGTATGTAAAAGTCTGATAATAGGTCGATGATGGTGTGTGGGTGTGTTGGGGGGTAGTGGTGTTCCATCAGAATTTGATGCAGCTGTTTATTGATCCAAGATTTTGACAATTTGTTCTGCTTGATGGCTTCTGTTGTTCAGCACTCACTCTTCACCCAACTTATAGGATAGCAATAATCAGCTTCTAGATTAGTAAAACATTTATCTGTAAGGGGTTCAGCACCTCTTTGTGGATCATGATCTTCATTAGTTTTACAACATTGGGTTCAATTCAGTAATTGTACTACATGGAAATGCTCTAAAACCTTTCAAAACATAATTGTTTAATGAGGTAGCGACGTAGCGTATCCTATCCTGCATATGAAATTTCCATTGGAAATATCAGCACTTCCCACAAATAGTACATTCGATGTAAAGGACATTGCTCCTCTCTGTGAACTGTAATTCTATTCAAAACCTTGGATCTACTGATTCCAAACTCTGGTACTTAAAGCCCCACAATTATAAGTCCTTTCTTATTTGATTTTCTGGGCATGAGCCCCATACACCCTATATTACAAGGTTTAATACCCATACCTACAGTAAAGGCAAGCCTATCCTCTCCAACATGACAGTGATGACATTATTTCATTCAGTTCAATGTTCAATTCTGGTAGGTATGGATACTGGCATCGATGTGACATCATAGAGAGGAAGAGCACTAAGGAGTTCAGAGTAGGCAAGAACCACACTTATCTGATCCGCAGGCATTAAACACCTTTAATGTGCATGGACATGTCTACCGATGCCAAACTAACTAGTAGTAAGAACATGAACTTTGAGATTTGAGATGGTGTTTGGTCTGCTTCTTATGCTGCATGACATTTGTGTTTTTGGGTGTTGATGCTTTGAAAAAAAAACTAATTGGATTTTCAGGACCAAAATCAACTGTGCTAAAGCATTTGTGTGGGTGGGTATGGATTTTAGGGCCTTGTTTGTTTCTGCCTATAGCAGACTTGATTATAATCTCACCGTACCGCAGGGATATTTTCGATTCTCTATTCTCGTTTTGCTAATTCAAAGTTCTTAAGCAGCAGTCAGCAGAATCAGAAATACTCGAAGCGTTTGGTTAGGATTCTCTTTTTTTTTCACCGAGAATCCAATTATATAAGCAGAAACAAACAGGGCCTAACTAATCCCGACTGAGTCTTCTTTGGATAATTATTCTTTTAGTAGCTCAATGCTCATATGTCAATATGCCAAAAAAATGTTTTTCAGTATGTTCTCAATGCAAATTCTTTGCTTGTCTAGGAATCTAGGATCTAGAGTGTCTCTGTACATAGCATGACACACTCCCATGTTATTTAACTGCAAACTTTAGCATGTTTACTGGTTTCAGAAGTCAGAAGCTGTGGTCAATCTTTTTTGTTCACCAGTCTGTAATTTTTGAAAGTATAATGCAGATGTCACGACACCAATGAAAAACGTCCATGGTGTACTTGAGGAACGTGATCCAAGTTATGACGAGATGCTCAAGCACATGGTTGGGAGAATCACTACTAAGCCTGGAGGAAAACCAGAAATGGGTGAAGTAAGTCCGCTAGAACTAAGGAATGCTTCCCACATTATGGGTCTGAATCATTGAAGTTGTGGCAACATATTGCCTTGGCCAACAAACTTTGAATTGAACAACACCATGCTTGTATGAAAAAAAAAAGTAGTACTGTCTTTGGTTATCCACTTACACGGAGTGCCCACTGCAAACGAAACTAACACAGATTCAATCTGGCAGGCTTCCGTTGTACAGCGGTACAACAGACCGCTCCCACAGGTCAGAACATCAAAGGCTGAACCTGGGCAAAGTGGGGGCAGGCAGCTACCATCAGGTGCCCTAAATGTCCAGCACATCCAGGAGATAATCCAACTGTACCAAGGAAAGTCTGCTAACCACCAGGGTCCGATGAGTGTGGCTGACATCGCCTCGAGGTTCAGAGTCGAAGCCTCTGTCGTCCGAAACATTGTACAGTTCGTTTCGCTGCCCCAGGACGAGACTGTCTAGAAGAAAGATGACTTGAGGGTCCACGTGGTCTTGCAGCTAACTCTGAGCCTTGTTGTTCTTGTTCCCAAGCTCATAGAGAAGAGAACTGCTTGAATGTCATTTTGTAGTGTGTTTTTTAGGTTTCTCCTGCTCCTGCTGCTGAGATGAGGAAGGTGGTGGAAATTGAGAAAACATGGGCGTGTTTCTTACCTGAATAAAGATGACAGCGTTTTTTTGCCCGATGGGGCTTGTCATGCTTGGTCTATTCTGGGTCTTGTGAAAGCATCACGAGCTGTGAGAACAGTGTCTGAGTGTTATCAGTCAAAGGCCAAGGGATGTTTGGATGAATTAATGCTATCTTTAGATCCTTTTTCTTTGTGAGACGGTGCCTTATACTCTTAGCTTTTATGTAGCTGTGCTGTATCGGTGGATCAAATCCGATAATGATCAGCCTGTTCGCTTGCTCGTAAACGATCGTAAATTTTTAGCGGGGAACAGTGGTTTTCTCTCACATCAAATCAGCCAGCAGTAAATAATCCACGATACGATACGGCCTCCTGAACAGGCTGGATACCCTCAGGGGGTACGGACCCGCCTAGCGTCGCACGCCCTTGCTTCTCGCGTGTCGCGCCGGACCTGCCTTGCATCGCGTGCCATTGCTCCTCGTGCCTTGAGACGGACCCGCCGAGCGTCGCACGCCCTTGTTCTTGCGCGTCGTGCCGGACCTCCCTTGCATCGCACGCCACTGCTCCTCCTGCCGTGAGCCGGACCCGCCTCACGTCGTGCGCCGTTTGCTCCTCGCACTCGTGCCCCTGTTCGTGCCTCGCGTCACACGCCGCCCGCGCTGCGCTCCCCCGCACCGCGTCAACGAGCTTCATTAGCGGCGGCAGGTAGATGAGCACATCTTTTCAACGAGCTTCATTAGCGGCGGCAGGTAGATGAGCACATCTTTGCAACATTATGTTTCATGTGTTTTATATGTACGTTGTATATGTTTTATCTGGATGTTTTAAAAGTAGATCTGGTGTTACATATATTGCAATGGCTATACATGTATATTACAAGTGTATGTTTCAGCTATTTTAAACATATGTTACAAGTATTTTATCTGGATGTTATATATGTTGTAGTGGCTATACACGTAGGTTGCATGTGTATGTTCTAAATGTTTCAGCTATTTTAGAAATATGTTACAAGTGTTTTATCTGAATATTGTATATATTGTAATAGCTATGCATATTTGTTGCAAACGTATGTTCCAGATATTTTACCTGCTTCGAAGTACTTCACGTTCAAAGTGTTTGCATTAGCAGACAGCATGCGATGATGCGAGACAGCAGCAAGCGAGCATGCCTAGGCGCGCAGCAGCAGGCGCACGCAGGGCATGCGGCAGCAGCAGGCGCATGCGGGCGCGTGTAATAGATGGGGCATACAGCAGCTGAGCAGCAGCATGTGTAGGCGGAGCACGCAGGCAAGCCACGCCCAATCATATATGGATATGGCGATGCAATGCTGCCAGAATAATTTGGTCAGCAATGTCCACTACTGTGGTTGCTCGTTTTATTTATTTTTTTTACAACAACTGTTGTTGCTCGTTGAAGTGCATGTTTAGTTCCCAAAATTTTATAAAATTTTTCAAGATTCTCCGTCACATCGAATCTTTGGACGCATGCATGAAGCATTAAATATAAATAAAAAATAAAACTAATTACACAGTTTAGACGAAATTCACGAGACGAATCTTTTAAGCTTAATTAGACTATGATTGGACACTAATTGTTAAATAACAACGAAAGTGCTACAGTACCATTTTCAAAAAAAAAAATCGCCAACTAAACAAGGCCGAAGTTTGCTAGGCCTAAAGTTGAGTGCAAACGACATCTGGCGAATACTGCTTTATTGTTATATTCATTCATGACATTTTGCTGTAAAACTTGTGCAAATTTTAAGATGCGCTTAAATCAGTTTTAGCCACTTTCCTAAACAGCCTACATGAGTTTCAGTTTTGTAGCCTTATCGGAAATGGGCTTGAGGGATTGCACTCCAAATATCTTGAAAAACCTTTATGATAGGAAGAAATGTTTGTGACATTATAGATCTCAAGGCCGGTCTCGTGGTATGCATATACGGGTAGTTTCTTAAACTTTGATATTGCATAAATTGAACAAGGGGATTTTTATATAAAATTTAAGTTGATGAATAAATAGGATGGTTATCAATGGGCCTTGTACTAAAGAAAACCTTACCGATTTTATCTTTTTTTTAAGTAGATGGTGATTTTAATATCATATTCATATATGGTTCACATGAAAAGAATAATGCCAATTATAATTATAGCCATTCTTGTTTAACGCAACCATCGACACTTTTAGCTTGAGAGTTGGAACTTTCTGGGAGGCAATTTACTTGTATGATTTTATATTGTAATGATCGGGAGAAATGAGAGGCATTTTTTCAGATGAAATATAATACAACTCCAGGTCAGATGGCATTCCATCAGAGTTTTATAATTTTTTTCTAGTATGTAGTAAAAGAAAATTCGTGAAAGCAAGGAATTTCTTAGACGAGCATTGACACAGGCATACAATGAAAAGCCTCGTTAAAAAAGTATCGAGCCATGTCGGAGCCGACGAATTAAAACCAATATCTACTCGATGCAGGACACGCCTGACATGGACTGCCCTTATTTCTACGCCACTAGCACCCGACGCCCGCGCACCTGCATCCCGATTCCTGAGCCCATCTACATGGGGCCCGCCCCGTCTGACTGCACGTGGGAGTCTCTGCTCGTGTCCTTTTCGTTTCTCACGCGCATGCACGTGGCCAGCAACTGAAGCAGATGACTACAAGTGGCTACGTCAGCATTCAGAAAGAGGGAGAGGAGGCAGCAGCGGATGCCCAGCTGACGTCGGGAGGAGGAGGAGACACCGAGGCGAAGATGAAGCAGCAGAAAAGCGAAGATAGAGATGCAACACCTGATCTACTTTTGAAGCATCCGGATGCGCCACTTGTAACATACATTTGAAGGCAGATGAAACACATGAAACATGTATCTGCAACACTAGCTGCAACACCAGATCTACTTTTGAAACATCCAGATGAAAATTTTGCAACATACGTACGAAACAACTGAAACACGTAAAACATGCGTATGAAACGCTTGCAAAAAATACCTAAAAATACTTCATATGTGTGAAAACATATGCAACGTCCAGATGAAACACTTACAAATATACGTCTGAAAAATGAGATAAAATATTTGGAACATACACTTGAAACATATGTATAGCCACTGCAACATGTGCAACATTCTGACTACTTTTGCAACATCAAGATGAAACACTCGCAACATTCAGATGAAACATCTGAAACACCTGAAACATACTCTTGCAACATGGGCTTTGCTTAGACGAATAGAGGCACGCCGGCGCGGAGGTTGACGACAGCGCATGGACCTCGCGGTGCGGCAGCGGCACGGGCAACTCGTCGACGGGCGCAGAGTCACACGAATCTCGTCCCCCTTGCCTGCTTGCCGGAGCATCCGTCGTGGGAGCACGGTGACTCGGTGGAGGCGGTCGCGGCGAGCGGGCTAGTCGTGGCAAGGAGGTAGAGCGGCGGAGGCGGACGAGGCAGCCTAGGCCGGATGGGGAATGCGGCGCGGAGGAGGCAGCTCGGGGAGGCAGCGCGGAGGAGGTCGTAGGGGATGGGCGCGCGTCGCTGCGGGGGATCGGCGGCGACGAGGCGGAGTGGGGTGGGCGGATGGGCACGACGACGCAGTGAGAAAACGACGCAGCGAGCATCGAGACGAGCGAATAAGGTCGCTAGGCGAGCGACGCGTGCGGAAATGAGCGGAGGAAGACGTTCGTCCGTCCGTTCGGACGTGTATCATTATCGTGTAAGTCGATTCTAGTCGGAGGTTGGATTGAAATGTCTGTACATTTATTGATTTGATTTGAAAATATGAATATATTCTGCCTGTACATTTGAACATATCGCGGCTGCACGAATCTCATCGTACGCCGCTCGAAGTCGCCTCCCATTTCGCGGGTCGCCGCTGCGTCAAGCGAGCGCTTCCCCATCAGATCTCGATCATTCTAGAATCCTCCGCCCCGGCCCTCCCGAGGCTCCGCCGGATCCAGAACCTTCTAGAACCCCTGCACTGCGCGGTGCGCGCCCTCCTCCTCCCCGTCCGGATCTCGACACCCCTCGGCGTCCCAGACCTGGTCCTGGGCGGTGAGTAAGGCCTAGCGGTGAGTGAACCCCTCATGGAGGTTCGTGTGCTGCCGCTTGGTTTATCGACTCCTTATCCGTGCTTCTTGCGTTGCGGCTGCTGTCCAAGCTTTAGCGACACAGAGTCATTACTACTTGGTATTGGTAGTGCCCGTTGCACAAAGTAGATGTTTCAGTTTCTTACATCTCGTCATCCTGCGGCCAATTTTTTTTTTTTTTTTGGGCATTCCTTTGTTGTGGACATTTTCCGTCTCATGATTCATGATCGTGGTAGGCCCTGACAGTTCGATACACTGATACGTTGATTAATAGGACCACCAAGATACGTGATCATGATTGCTTTCTAACGTAATACTGTAATAGTATGATCGCTGATGGCGTGGACTTGTTTCCTTAATCTTGTTATTATCTGCAAAAGGACCGGTGGCCATCGGACCCGCTATCCCCAACAGCATTGCCCCCGAGGAGCCTAAAGTCGTCGTGCCAGAGGAGAACGGGGAGATGGGCATGGCTGATATCCAGGACAAGGAAGTCAGTATGGAAGGGCTCTGCTCCATAAGCACCTATGATCAGTGGACGCCACTCTCTGTTTCTGGCCAGCTCCCGAAACCACGCTATAAGGTCCCCTTTGGTTTTCTTGACCGCCTAATTTCACTTTTGCGCATTTAGTGACCTGTTGTCTATGATGGTTGCAGCATCGAGCTGCGGTGGTTCAGCAGAAGATGTACGTCTTTGGTGGAAATCACAATGGCTGTTACCTTGGCGACATCCAGGTAGATTGTTCCTCTAGA